AGGGTCCAACATCCTGGCATTCGGAAAGCTAAAGAGCGGATTAGCATTCTGGTGGGCGGGGGGCGGTAAGCAAAATTGCAATGGGAGGTAGAGACATACACATGATGAGTTAATGGAGTGGGACTTCCTCCCTTACCCTCTTTTCCCCCAAAAAAACAATGTACTAGGATATATTATTAGTTCAAACAGACAACATATTATTTTTGTTATACATCCTTTCTTCCCCCCCCCCCCCTTTCTGGCTTCCCACAGCGCTCCAACCTCCAGCCCATTTCTTATTCCTTTTCTATTTTCCACTTATCTTTTAATCATAATCTACCGGTAACGCTTCTTTCTACTAGTATTTTCTCTTAATTAACTTTCCTCTAATAACATTAACTTTTCAATAATTGTCAAAGCAAATTAAATTGTCCTTTACATCCCAATATTTTTCTAAATACTCTTTAAAGTCTTTCCAATCTGTGTAGAATTCTTCTGCCTCAAGGTCCTTAAGTTTCCTTGTCATTTTGTCCATTTCAACCATGAATATTAATTTCTTTATCCATTCCCCAATTTCCGGGATTTGTCTTGTTTCCAACATTGGGCATAGGTCATTCTAGCAGTTGTGATCATATTTATTTATTTATTTATTTATTTATTTATTTATTTTTGCATTTATATCCCGCCCTATCCCGAAGGCTCAGGGCGGCTAACAGGGGCACCAAGTGCCAAGTAAAACAATATCATATAGCATATAGTTAAAACAAAAACATATAATTAAAACAATCACATATAGTTTAAAACCATAAATTACAATATACAGCAAACTTCAGCAAGAGGGAAGATCTTAACCTCACCTAGCTACCCGCAGTCTCATGCTCAAGCCATTTCCAGTGCCACAATCCACCCCCAGGGGGCGAGACAATCAGATGTTAAAGTCGCTAGGGCATAGGGATACAGATGGAATGATGACGGCGGCGGCTCCTATCCAAAGGCCTGGCGGAAGAGCTCCGTCTTGCAGGCCCTGCGGAACTGAGAAAGGTCCCGCAGGGCCCGGATCTCCTCCGGGAGCTCTTTCCACCAGGTAGGAGCCACCACCGAAAATGCCCTAGCCCTAGTCACAGCAAATGCCCTAGCCCTACCACATCAATGTTCTTTTCCGCACATTAACTTATTCCATTTTTAAGTCCCAACAGCAATATTTCAGGTTCTTTTTTAAAATTACATTTTACAATTTTTTCCATTTCTTTATGTATCTCAGCCCAATAACTTCTTGCCTTGTCACATGTCCTCCACATATGATAAAAGGAGCCTTCCACCGCAGCCCCCAAATGCTGGTCCCCAGGGCTCAGGGGCCTCTCTTCCCATGTTCAGCATGAGGAGATGGTGGAGGCCCACCTGAGGACGGAGAATGTGGTAAAAACCGTCCCCCCTCCATTAGCATAAATTCCCCACAGAATCCAACTCAATATACAGTTTCGTTTCTAAGTGGAGTAGTAATCGTACATTACCAAATCATAGTGGGCGTAGATGGTGGAAAACACCATTATTCATGCCCCCCCCCCGGGGGGGATGGCCCAAGGATTTTTCGTCAGCACAAAAAAAGGGGAACTTAATCCTGAAACCTAGGATTCCATCTATCACCCCTTTGTGTTGCTGGAGATTTTAAGCTGCTTTTTACTAACATGTCTCTCAGATTTTTAGATCCCCGTTAGGCAAAGAGAGGAGCAGTCTCACATGAAGGAATCCCGGTTAATAAATGCCAATGTTTTCTAATATTGTTACTGACCTGAGTTGATCTTCCATCATAAATCAGTGGAATAATAATCCTACTAGACTGCCTTTGCTAAAGGGACAGTTTTGCTGAGGATGCTTTGGCTTGGGCTAAACAATGATTGGAAGGCACTTTTTTGGACCAGAAGTAACAAAATAATTGTATTTATTAATTACTTTTTGACTTAAGTCTCGATATTGTAGATTGCATGGGTTTATCTTTTTTTTTTTTTTTGCTTCTAGATTATTTTCAGTGAAATATCATTTGGCAAGTGATTGCATCTTTGGAGGCCTCCTTCATACTTTTATTCTGTGCCTAGTGGTTTCACTTTGGAAGTAAGTTAATATGTTTTTAGGTAGAATATAGGCATTGTTTATTATATTATATGTATTTAATTTCAGGTTTTTTATTTTTATAGCAATTCTTTTCTGGTTCATTTTGTATCCATGTTGTATAATTGTATTGTATTATGGTATAAGCAGGGGTCATTTCCTGCAGGAGCGCACAGGAGTGGAGCTCTGGCAGTAAAGAGCCCAGGGGGGGGGGAACACATGCAACAAGCCCCACCCCCTGCTCCCAGCAGCCCTCAGTCAGAGCAAGAAGCAGCCAGGTAAGTTGCAGAGCTCTCCCCACGCAGATCTGTCCTCACGGAGGAGGGAGAGCTTGTACCTGAAGGCGGGCCGGGGGGGGCCTCTGCAACTTACCTGGCTGCTTCTTGCTCCTCATGGCCTGACTGAGGGCTGCTGGGAGCAGGGGGCAGGGCTTGTTGCATGTGCCCACCCCCTGGGCTCCTTATTGCCAGAGCTCTGCTCCCGTGTGCTCCCACAGGAAATGACCCCTGGGTGTGCAGGCTGTGAAGAGCAGAGTCTGGAAGTAATGGGTTTGCCCTGTTAGGAAGCTTGCTTTGCAAGCATATTACAACCTGTGCTTTAAAGTGTAATGAGTGGTGAAGATCAGCTTAATTTTAAATCAAAGTCCCAGTTTAACCCATAGCTTGGGTAGTGTTTTGTTCGAGGAGTGGGCGGGCAAGTATACATAACATAGAATTCAGAGCCTGTGTTTCAGAGATGCTGGAATTCCTGGGGGAAAATATATTTTGTATTCTGTCACCGAGTGTTGGTCTACAGCATCGAAACATGATAAATAAAGTGTGATGCAAATAATTCTGACAGCAGGTATGAAATCAAGGGAAACTAAATAAAACCGCAGGTGTCTCAGCATGGCAGCACAGACCCTGCTTCAAGCACAGATGTTCAAAGTAAACGTCAGTGTAAACATAACACTGCATATCTGAAGACACGTCCACACATTCGAGCAGCACTTATTTTCTCAAGAAAACTTGAGTATGAACCGCCTGTTTACACAGGCTCATCCAGTTCTCAATGGCTTAGTAAATCTGCATTTGGGTTATAGCATATTAGATTGCAGGTACGTGCTCTTTTCCCTATAAAGATGATGATGATGATGATGATGATGATGATGATGATGATGATGATGATGATGATAATATTTCAATTTATTAATCGCTCAATCCTGCAGAGCTTGCTGGTTCTGAGCGATTTACAGTTACTCATTTACGCGGGACTAACCATGATTTATGGGGGTAAGGGAGGACAACATATGTCTTATTTAAATCACACACATTCACAGTCGGCGAGGGTTTGTCCAGCTGCAGGGTCAGACGTGTTCCGTCGGCATATTCACTTCGGCTGTGCTAGATGACGTCAGCTTCTCCAGGTCTTGCAGCGCCGCACTGCCACCGCCTGGCTGGAACGGCCCATTACAGGCTTCTCGGAGTCGAAGCGATTTTTCTTAGGCTTTCAATCTTGCGAGCGGAGCATTCCGGTCGCCGGCTAACACCTCCCCCACCGGGGGGGGGGTTTGGTGTGCCCACCCTCTCTAAGGAGTGGTACCCATTTTATCTACTTGCCGAAGCTTTCGAACCGCTGGGTGGACGGCAAGCTAGGGACAAGGCTGGTAGCTCACACCAACACGGGGCTAGAACTGACAGCCGTACTGTTCAGCTCAGATGTTACTAACCAGAGGATAAATCCTCTGTGCCACCGCTCCCCTTGCAACCAGAAAGCTAGCATGCCATCAAGAAGACTAAACCTATTCCTGACATACTTGTTTATGTGCATGGAAATTTTTTTTTTTTTTTGTACGGAAGAACATTCAAGCACATGAGCCTCCACCTAGTCTGAAGTACTACAGCCAGGGCTGGCATCATCATATACTGCGGCTGGGGGGGGAGCTGCCAGGGCCCAAGACGTCTGGTGGGGCCCACTGCCCCTCTCATGCCCCTTCACTACTACCAGAGAGCCAGCATGGTATCTGAAGAACTGGATTCGATTCTGCACTCCTCCACTTGCAGCCAGCTGGGTGACCTTGCGTCAGTCACAGCTCTTTCAGAGGTCTCCCGACCCAGAAAACAAGTCTAGCTCGCCACCTAGTGGTGCAAAAAGCTAAAAGAGTTAGAACTTAAGGCTGCAAGAAAATCTTAGGATCTCCTGGCTGTACTATACACAATGCCATACAATGGTCCTGTTCACACGGAGAAGTTGCCGTGCTAAAGACACGGATGATAGGCGGGTTTTTGGTGCGCAATCACACTGCAACATCTGGGAAGCATAGTACACGCGTGGCTAACCCGTCGCTTCTCGCCGAAGATGCGGAGTAAAAAACTACCACATACGATGTATTAGTTTCTAGAAAGCGCGGGGCAAGGGCGGGCGTCTGATCGCGTTTCCACTTGAATCCCATGGCATCCGGCGCCCGTCCATGTCCCGTCGCACACCGGATGGGGTATTTTGGTAAGTCTCCACAGGATGTGCACAAACTATCATGCGCATCTGCAAACTTTGGTGTGAAAAAAAAATCCCGTTTGCCAAGGAAGCGGCGCCTAGTGATTGCCAGTGTGATCGCGCCGCACCGCTTCTTTGCCGCGCTGCAGGATAGCTGTGTAATCAGCACCTAACGGCGTAACCACGGGACCTCAATGGGACATGTGATCGGGCTGCCGCGTGTTACTTTGCTCCGGGGCAAACAGCCACGCTTCCCCCCTGCATTTTCCGGCCCGTGTGACCGGGACCAATAATTATTATCCCTGCTACTTCTCTGTACCTGCGCTCCCGAACGCCCAGTGTGATTGAGGAAGGGCACGTGGGTGGTACACGTAGTGGCACTCCTGTTGACCATGGCGTACTGGCCAGTGCTGTCTGGGCAAGGGCAGGCAGGCAGCGAAGAGAACTCAGTATGGAGGTTGGAAGGGCTTGAAAGTCAGGGAACGATGTGTGGGCAGGTAGGGGTTATGCAGGGTGTGGATAGGAAGGCATTGGGGGGGGCTGTGGTAGGGAGACGGGGGTCTCTTGACACCATCTACCCAGGGCCCTGGTACCGGCCCGAACTACAGCCCTGACACAGGTATACCCTGGCAGTGAGAAGAAAGGACCAAATGATTCATGATGCTGGGAGTTCTGTGAACATATTTTGGATTGGGAGCCCAGTTTGAGGGAAGGGGGGATTTCAACTTTCCCCCCCACACCATTTTATCGACCTGGAACAGCTATTGTTGATGTAAATGTAGCTGTATCATTACTGTGTTCCCCCCCCCCTCGTCATGATGCAAATAGCTGCTCCCTGGGGCCTAGGGTTGCCAGGCCTGAGTTGAAACATACCCGGAGACTTTGGGGGTGGAGCCAGGAGAGGGTGGGGTTTGGGGAGGGGAGGGGCCTCAGCAGGGTGCAATGCCATAGAGTCCTCCCTTCAAAGCAGCCATTTTCTCCAGGGGAGCTGATCTCTGTCCGCTGGAGACCAGTAGTAAAAGCGGGAGATCTCCAGGCCCCACTGGGGGCTCGCAACCCTACCGGGGCCATTTTAGGCCTGGGAAACAGAGCAGATTGGGAGGCTGAAACCTTTCTCCATGCATACCGCTGCCCTGGTCTCAGTTGCAGCCGAACCTGTTCTCAGTTGCAGCCAAAGGAGTCAAAGAACTGATCACAAGTGACAGAGGCCTCCTGTCTACCATGTGGGCTGCTCTGTGGACTCAGTTTTCAGGAAAGGCCAGGTCATATTCATAGGGTTGCCAGTCTCCAGGTGAGCCCTGGGGACCTCCCAGAATTACATCTGATCCCCAGACTACAAAGTCCTCCTGTCCAGCATGTGTGCAGCTCTGGGTCAGTCTCAAACAGCTGGCAAATGGAAGGCTTGACACTTGATTACCTGAACATGTGGAAATGGAGCCAGAAATCTGCTGTCGCAGGCTCGGCCCTTTGTGATGTGGGAGCAGCATATCCCGCGCTGTCCCATGACATCGGCCACCAACCTCACAATGGGAGGCAGACCTGAGGGCTGTCATCACCCCATAGTTTATGGTACAGGCACCCAGGGCGTAAGGTTGCCAAGTCCCCCCAGGGGGCGGGGAAACCCCTGCCCGAGAGGCCTGTTCCCCACCCGCAGGGATTGGGCCGGCGGGGGGGACCCCACCCCCAAAGCGCGTGATGTGCCCAGCGTGTGTGACATGCCCAGAGGTGACGCAAACGTGTCAGGCACGTTGCAGGGGGATGCTCTATCATCTGAGGGAAAGCTCTATGGTTTTCCCTTGGATGAATGTGGCCTCGCCCCCAACGTGCGCGACGTGATTTCATCATTTCCAGGTGACGTGAATGCGGCGCGCACACTTTGCGCGTGCGCCAGGGGACTCCCGACGACATCCAGGAGTCCAAATTACAAAATTTCGACTTTGCAACCCTACCAGGACGAGGGTTGCCAGTCTCCAGGTGGGCCCTGGGGATCTCCTGAAATCACATCTGGTCTCCAGGCTACAAAGTCCTCGTATCCACCACGTGTGCTGTTCTCTGAACTCAGTTTTCAGGGAAGGCCTCGTTGGATTCACAGGGTGGCCAATCTACAGGTGGGACCGGGAGATCTCCCAGAATTTCAACTGATCTCCAGACTATGGAGATCTTTTCCCCTGGAGAAGATGGCTGCTTTGGAGGGCGGACTCTGTGGCTTTGTGTCCCACTGAGGTCCCTCCCACTCCCCAAACCCTGCCCTCCCTAGACTCCACCCCCCAAATCCTCAGGAATTTCCCAAACCAGTGTTGCTAACCATGACAGGTGGTGTGTTGCATACAGAAGGAGAACCATCAGATTTATACCCAACAACATTTGTTGAGTTCCCTACCAACATTTGTTGAGTTCAACAGAAAGAAACATTTCTAGCATACTTGGTCAAGTATGCTAGAAATTGTTTCTTTCTGCTGAACTCAACAAATGTCAGTAGAGGACAAATTTGACTCCCCTTGGTCTAGCACTTTATAGGATTTTAAACTGGACTCGATCCATTCCCCCCTCCCCACTCCCCTTTGAAGAACACGCCTTTACATGACATCTCAAACTGCTTCTGAAAGAGCCAGGCGACACAAAGAAAGATTTAAGGAGTTCCTGGGATTCTGGCCAAGGTATTCTCCCCCTCCCCATTCCCTATAGAAATGCAATGAACAGGCTTACCTCTGTCTCCGGTTTCTCCTTTTTCACCTTGAGGGCCTTGGTCACCTTTTGCGCCAGCAGGGCCTGGGCTTCCTGGAGGACCCTGCAGACCTCGGATTCCACGTGGTCCTGCTCAGACGGAAACGATTATGTGCAGATGCAGAGAGTCAACCATCAAATAAGTCAACTCGACAACACATTTCAGTTTCTAAGGACCCAGGTAAGGCCAAAGGTGGAGTCTCTTAGATCACAGTGCTACTGCTGCCCCATGTGGTGAGCTGGTGGAACTGCAGCTAGCTGTGTCATGTTCTTAGGTTTCTGATGACCTGACCCACCTGGGCCGCTCTGAGCCTGAGAAACCCATTGGCTTCTCCTGACCAGGGAAGACTATAAATGCTTCTAGGTCAGCCTGGGAATTTGCCTGGGCATAGGGAGTGTGTTGTGGTTGCACAAGGACTAGTAGAGTGGTTTGCTGTAGGTACAACATGTCCCATGCTTCAAAAAAGAGAGCTAGCTAATCCTGCTATACTGGCTGTCAGCTGTAATCCTATTAAAGAAGATTAATAGCAAGTGGATACTAAACCCTCAGTCTTCTGTCATTACCTCCTGATATATCCTGGCTGCTGCCTTTTTCTCCTAATTCTAGAAGACAAGAAGAGATTGGATTTATACCCTGCCCTTCACTACCCGCAGGAGTCTCAGAGCGTTTTACAATCTCCTTTCCCTCCCCCTCCCCACAACAGACACCCTGTGAAGTAGGTGGGGCTGAGAGAGCTCTCCCGAGAGCTGCCCTTGAGAGATCAGCTTTGAGAGAACTCTGACTGATCCAAGGTCACCCAGCTGGCTGCATGTGGGGGAGTGGGGGATCAAACGTGGGTCTCCAGATTAGAATCTGCTGCTTTTAACCACTATTCCAAGATGGCTCTCCTCCATCTCTACTCTCAATTCTCGACTTCCGAGAGAGGCCGTTAAAAATCCTCACACACACATCACTGCCATAAGTGATGCTATATTTGGCAAGCTGCATTCCTAATTATGCTATCCAGCAGGCTTGGAGGTGAGCAGGCTAAGAGCAGCTAAATTAAAACGTGCAAATTAAAATATCACACCTGATCACATTTCATAATCTAAATGCCTCACTTAATGGGTTCAAAACCATTTCTTTATTCATATGTCCTTTATTTGCTGATGGAGTCATTTCCGATAAGGGAGACACGAAGTACCTCTTGTTAGATATTCATTTTAACGTGGTAATTATAGCTTTTAAAATTCAAGAAAGGAGTTTTTACTTGCTTCACGTTGAGAATAATGGAATTCTCCCAATTGGCATTCAGGGAATATTTGGTATTCAACACTCTTCCTTGGTATATCCAAATACCACTAAGACATTAGAAATCCAGATCCACATTCAGGGTTTTGTTGTTGTTTAGTCGCACAGTCAAGTCCGACTCTTTGCGACCCCATGGACCAGCTTCCGCCAGGCTCTCCTGTCTTCGCCATCCTTTGAAGTTCACTCAGTTTCATGTTCGTTGCATCAATGACACTGTCTAACCATCTCATCCGTTGCCATCCCCGTCTTCTTTGACCTTCAATCTTTCCCGGCATCAGGGTCTTCTTCTCCAGTGAGTGCTCCCTTCTCATTGGGTGGCCAAAGTCTTTGAGCTTCAGCTTCAGTATCTGGCCTTCCAGGGAACAGTCAGGGTTGATTTCTTTTAGGATTGACTGATTTGATCTCCTTGCAGTCCAAGGGACTCTCAAGAGTCTTCTCCAGCACCATAGTTCAAAAGAATCTATTCTTCGGCGCTCGGCCTTCCTTATAGTCCAACTCTCTATCCCCCTTCTCTCCACATGGCACTGTTTAACTGTGTCCCTTTCCGTTTTGTCACAGTTCTGTCCCTTTTCTTATTTGGCAAATAAATAAGTTGCGCACAGAGACAAAGGTGGCAGAAATAGGACTGAGCCGAGTAAACAACATGCCTTTGAGTTGCTAGCTCAAGGTTCTGCTGAGCATGTAGTCGAAGGGCTCAAACAGACCAGAGGAAGATCACGCATCTTCTTTCATGCATAAAAACAAACTGCAGACTTGTAGAGCCTCAATTTGCCTTGGGGCTATACAAGGAAGAGAGAAGGTTTTAACCCTTCAGTGTCAACTCAGTTTTGCGACTTGGTTATTATTATTATTTGGCTATTAGTATTTTAAAGGACGTGGTTACTAGTATTTTGAAGGACATGTTTTTTAACATGCTAACCCAGAAGGGAGACCAGTTTCCAACAGGGAAACCAAGTGGAGGTTGAAGGGTTAAAGGCCCTCTCCCATCCTTGCATTTCTGCAAGCACTGAAATTGCATGAACCTACAATTTGCATTTGATGGAGTGAACAACGCATGATCTTTTCTCCCATCTGTTTGCACCCCAACAGTCCCCTTTTACCAGGGGCAGTCCCTATTTTGTGGCACTTGTTTCTTTAAAAGAGCCAGTTTGGTGTAGTGGTTAAGTGCGCGGACTCTAATCTGGGAGCACCGGGTTTGATTCCCCACTCCTCCACTTGCACCTGGGCTGGATGACCTTGGGCAAGCTATAGTTCTGTCAGAGGTGTTCTTGAAAAAGAGTAGTTTCTGTCAGAGCTCTCTCAGCCCCGCCTACCTCACAGGGTGTCTGTTGTGGGGAGGGGAAGGGAGAGGAGTTTGTAAGCCGCTCTGAGACTCCCTTGGGTAGTGAAGGGTGGGGTATAAATACAATCTCTTCTCTTCTTTAAAAGCATGGCCTCTGTTTTACCTTTGGTGCAGATTTTTGGAGATGGCTTGTGAAAAGAACTAGTGTGCACAGCACACAAACGGAATAGATTTGGCCAGGGCTCTTTTTGTAGAAAAAAAGCAGCAGGAACTCATTAGCATAATAGACCACACCCAACAGCAGAAACTCATTAGCATATTAGGCCACACCCTGATGACACAGCTAATTAGCATATTAGGCCATACCCCCATGTTGCCAGAAGTGTGGTCATCCAGCCACACCCACCTTTTGCTTCTTATTCTGTTTACCTTGTTTGTTGTCAAAACCCTGGGCTTTTTTTGTAGCAGGAACTCCTTTGCATGTTAGGCCACACACCCCTAACGTAGCCAATCCTAATGAGTTTCTATTATGCTAATGAGTTCCTGCTGGGCGTGGCCAACTTGGGAGCCAGCCGGAACTCCATTCCTGTGCGTTCCTGCCCAAAAATAGCCCTGGATTTGGCATTTCTCAGACTTCAGGCCTCATCCTCTTCAACAATAGCAACATTGACCCGTCTATTGGGCCTTTGGGGGAAAGGCGCCACTAAGTGTGTCCCGAGGTGAGCATCCAGCACAAACTTTCCAGGCACCAATAGATCTGAGGACCCTGAACTAAAGGTTATACACAGGCAGAACGTAAGAGGTTAGATCCTACGATCGACTTCTGCTGGCACACAGGAGCTCATGCAAGAAGGTGCAGACCCTAACATGATGCTCAGCACTGCCCCCCAGGGATCCCCGATGGGCGGAATTTGAGAGGGGGAAGAATTTATTTTGTGAGCAGAGAGAACAAAATCTAACCCAGGGCCCCCCAACCGTTTTGAGCCTGCAGGCACCTTTGTAATTCTGACACAGTTGGTGGGCACAGCCAAAAAATGGCTGCCACGATAAGGCAGCCATTTTTAAGGCAGCCATTTTAAGGCAGCCATTTTTAAGGCAGAGCCAGCAACAAAATGGCTGCCGCAGCTTGCCTTCAGTCACACAGTGAAGATTTTTGTGCTGTGGTGGCAGCTGCTGCCACAGCTATTGTCAGACGGCAGATGTGCCTGGAGAATGTTGGGGCGGTGGGAAGGTTCCAGGTTGAGGAGATCAGTAAATGGAGCAAGACGTCACCTCAGATGCACCGACTGAGAAGGTTACTGCACGCCTCTCATCTCGGTAGCCTTTCCCCTACTTGGGAGCGCACGAGTGGATAGGGCTGGCACCCTCTACTCCCTCCTTGCTTCCCAGCTCATAGGGTTCTGCCAATCCTCCTTGGTTACCGCCTTTCCACTCTTCATTGTCTCCCTTCCCCCTGGCCCACCCCACCGCCCAGGTCTTAAAGCAGCCGAGCCATGGGGTTCTTCTAGCGGGGCCCACCGTGAACTTGCCCCACCCTTCTGTCTCTCGGTCGGGTCCACTGCGGAGTGGCCAACGGGTTCCCCGACCCCCACAACCTTTTTTGGTCATGGAACAGCCGCGGGCAGGATGGCAAGGGTATGATCCCGGGGCCCTTGGGGAATCCTCGCAATGTCTCATCTGTGGGCTGGCACCAGAAGGTGGGCATCCCCAGGACTTCTCCCCAGCTGCTGCCCTGGGCACCTTGATGCCCCCCTCTTTGTCTTGGTCGTCCCTGATGGAGGGAAGGTGGTCTCTCTCGGGTCCCAGGGTCGAAAGGAGGTGTGGACTCAGGGAGGGCTCGGGTGAGACCTCCTGACAGCTGTGTTGTGAAAATCTGCATGGCCGATCAAATCTCCAGTGGCCAATCAGGAGCCTTGCTGGGTAAAAGCCCCGCCCACTTTCTAAAACACTTGGCAGGTGCCAGGAAAGGAGTTGGGGACCCCAGCCCTGATCTAACCCAATAGAAAAGGAAAGTATGAAATAACATTCATTTTGGTTGGTTTTTATTAGGAGCAAAGCACGCAGGAGCTGAGTATTACAATCCATTCGGTTTCAATGTATCTGAAGAAGTGGGCATGCACACAAAAGCTTATACCCAGAGTTAAAGATGCCACAGGACTCAATTTTAATCCATTAGGTTGTGAAACTAAGGTCCTGGTCACATGGAAGGTTTTGGCCCAGGAGAGGGACGGATCGGGGGCGCAGCAAACAGGCATGATCTCACCACAACATCTGGGAAGCGGCGCACACCCGTCTCCGATCCGTCCCTAAAGCCGGAAAACCCGCTGCAAAAAAGAACCACCTACAGAGAAGGACTTACCTGGAACGCCGCATCAAGCGCAGCCGTGGGATTGCCGGCGTGCACATCGTCTGGAGCAATCCAGGCTCCCGGCCGAACTGCGCATGCGCACACATGCACAGTTTGGCTGCCGCGCTCTTCCTTCAGTGCCCCCCCCCCCCGGCATCTGATCGTGCCAG